ATCTGCTGGTTAAGGTGCTTGATGTCAATCAAGCCTGACCACCTGAGTTTGGTCCTGGGATGATGAAGAGAAGACTGATTGTCCTCTAATCTCTACACATGCATCGGGGCACAGGTATCTGCACCCCACCTCCAATTAAATGTAATGATCTGACCCTCTGGAACTTTTTGGCTAGTGAGGGTTTCTGGAGGTACCAGGAGCCATCAGAAATCCTCAGAGAAAGGCACTAATGTTATGGCTTTCACAGCCCCACAAATGTCCCCACTCTATCCATAGCTGCCTGTCCACAAAGGAGCCGGCCAGAGCTGCAGGCTTAACAAGTGCAGTTAACTGACACTTCCCAAGTGTGGGGGCTGGGAAGGGCAGTCTCTTCTACTGAAGGCATTGTGGGTAGTCTTTCACTTTCTAGAAAACTCTCCTGCTGCTCCAAACTAGGATCTACGTCATCGTCCAACTTCAGAAACAGCTTCTTCAAAATCTTTTGGGCTGGGGTGTGACTCATTTGGTACTGTCTCCCTAGCATGCACAAAGCTTGGGGTTCCAGCCCAGCACCACATAAACCTGGCTGTGGTAGCACTCGGCTGTAACTCCAGAAGTGGGGTGGGGCAAGCAGGAGGATCAGAAGTTCAAGGTCATCCTCAGCAGCATACCAAATCTAAAGCAAGGACATGAGACCCTATTTCAAAAAACCAAGGGCTAGACAGATGACTCAGTCAGTTAAGAGCATTGGCTGTTTGTTCTTCCAAGGGATACGAAACACCCAGACATAAGAATAAAAAAATTACCAGGCAGTGGTGGCAAGCACCTTTAATCCCAGCACTTGGGAGGCAGAGGCAGATGGATCTCTGTGAGTTCAAGGCCAGCCTGGTATATAATTGAGTTCAAGGACAGTTAAGATTGTTACACAAAGGAAAAAAAAAAAAGTCTCGGAAAAAAAATCAAGAACAAAAATAACCTTCGGAGGCAGAGGTTCCCTATGTGGATCTCTATGAGGTTCAAGACCAGTTGGATCTACAGAGAGTTCCAAGACAGCCAAGGATACACACAGAGAAACTCTGTCTCAGGAAAGAACAAACAAACAACCCCCCAAACCCATTGATACACTCACTCACAGGAAGGGGAATGAAACTGTGGCTAACCAGGGACCCAGGGGAGGAGAGTGGAAGAGCAGCATGGGAGAAGCTGATCAAGCAACTAAAGGGACGAAGTTCAAGAAACACGGAGCAACTGAACAATGGGTACCATGCACAACAGGAGTGTACTGCACTTTTCAGGAAGCTAAAAAGAAGGATTTGAAATTTTTTAAAATAACTTATTTTTATTTTATTTGCATTGGTGTTTTGCCTGCATGTATGTCTGCGTGAGGGTATCAGATCTTGATGTTACAGACAGTTGTTTGCTGCCATGTGGGTGCTGGGAATTGAACCTGGGTTCTCTGGAAGAGCAGCTGGTGCTCTTAACCACTGAGCCATCTCTCCAGCCACTGATTTGGAATGCTTTAACCACTTTAACCATTAAAAAATATATATATAACATATGAAATGAAGTTGTTTAAACACTACATAATTGATATATGTATCAAAATACCATGTGATCTTATGACATAATTTTTATGGTTTTAGACTCTTAATGTGTAGGATAGTGGTAGGGTGTGCACCCTGCATGGGGTGAGAGGACTGAGGACAATCCTCAACATCCAAATATCAATATACATGTGTGTGTATGTGTGTATGTGTGCGTGCACATGTCCATGAGGTACGCACATGTGTGGAGACTCCAGGTTGACACTAGGAGTCTTTCTTCATTGCTCTCCATTTTATATTTTGAGACAGTGTCTCTCACTGAGCCTGGAGCTCAGTAAGACTAACTAGCCAGTGAGCTCCAGGCATCTTCCTGTCTCCACCTGCCCAATGTGAAGATTACAGGTGTGCACCACTGTGCCCAGCTTTTTTGTGGGTGCTGGGGAACCAAATTCAGCTCCTCATGCCTGTATGGCAAGCAATTTTGGTGCAAACAATTGTTCTCATCCTGTTCTCTCTAGTGAATGTGAGGTGGGAAAGAACATGGGTGGAAATGGCCATGCCAGTCACTTGTTCTTCACCTTAGGGTTACCAAGCAGGACTCCCCTGAGCAAGAGGAAATGCCTCAACAAGCTCTGTGGAAAAAAGCTACTAGGAGAGACATGGTAGGAACAGAGAGAAAGTGGCACAACACCATGGCCAAGAACAGACTTTGGTGCCACCAGATATGGTTTTTACTTTACCAACTGCATAGTAAGCACCCCCGAATTTCTGTGTCTATACTTCAGAGGTAATAATTCCTCATGGTGGGGAGGGGACCTGGAGAGATGGCTCCGTGGTTAAGAGTGCTTGCTGCTCTCTCAGAAGAGCCTAGTTCAGTTCCCACCATCTGGTGTAGGAGGTCCTTCTGTCTATGTATTGCTTTCATTGGTTAATAAAGAAACTGCTTTGAGCCTGTTGATAGGGCAGAACTTAGGTAGGCAGGGAAGACAGAACTGAATGCTTGGAGAAAGAAGGATGGAGTCAGAGAGATGCTATGGAGCAGCCACCAGAGTCAGACATGCTGAACCTTTGCCGGTAAGCCACTGCCACATAGCAATATACAGATTAATAGAAATGGGATAAATTTCTATAATTCAAGATGTGAGAGTTAGCCAATAAGAGGCTAGAGCTAATGGGCCAAGCAGTGATTTAATTAATACAATTTCTGTGTGGTTATTTTGGGGCTAAGCTAGCTGGGCCCTCCTCCTATAATCATCCATATCAGATGGCTCACAACTGCCTGTAATGCCAGCTCTAAGGGATCCAACTCCCTCTCCTAGCCTCTATGGGAATCTGCATGCACATGTGCCCATATACACACACACAACAACAACAACAATAATAATAACAGTAAAAAGAAATCTTTTTTATTTTTTATTTTTTTATTTTTTTTTAAGAAAGGGTCTCTTTACATAGCCCTGGCTGTCCTGAAACTCATTATGTAGAAGAGGTTAGCCTCTTGAGCCCTGGGATTAAAGATGTATACCACTTCTTAATTAGTTACTAACCTGGGAAAGTCCAGCCCTTAGTAGGTGGTACTGCCCTGGTCTGGTGGAGCTAGGTGCTGTCATGAGGAGCAAGCATTCTGCCATGGGTTCTGCATCAGTTCCTGTCTCCAGGTTTCTGCCTGGTGTTGATTCTCACTCTAGCTTCCCTCAGTAGACCGTGATTCAGGATATGTAAACTAAATAAACCCACTCCTCCCCAAGCTGTTTTCGGTCACGGTGTTTCACCCCATGGTAACGCTAACTAAGCCCTTTGTACAAGGATGAATGTGCCAGTGTGCCATGCCAAGAGTATGGAGCTCAGAGGACAGCTGTGAGTTGGTTCTCTCCCTCTGCCGTGTGCTGGAGAAGAGGGGAGGCCTGGCTGCAGAGCCTAACAAAAGACAGAGAGAGCTAGCCTGACCTGTGGGCAAGGAGTCCGTATGGTACAGTGCAGTAATTTAAGAGTTCAAACTCTGGGTTCAATCTAAATCAAACTCCAATTTTTTTATAACCAAGATGTGAGGCTTGAGCAATTCAGTTTCCTTATTCGTAAAACAGCAATAACAAGAGAATCTAGTAACAGGGAGGTCTCTTTCCTCATCGTTCTTTCTGGGTAGTGGGTACTTAGTGTAGGCCAGCTGGAAAGTCATAAGACTCCACCTGTCCTGACAGGTCCTGGTCACCTCCAGAGACCGACTCTGGAGATGGTGGTGTGTTAATGAAGATGATCATAACCCCCGTCTGCTGTAGTCCTAAATTTCTCATGTTGCTCTGTTAAATACTTTCACATGGTGAGTTCCAGGCATGTTGGGGCTACATAGTAAGAACTTGTCTCAAAAGAACCCAGACTATAGACTATCTGAACTGAAGATGAAGTTCCATGATGCAGCACTTGGCTACTATGCCCGAGGACCCGGGTTTGATCCTGAAGGAGTCTGATTGAGGACCCAGACTATCAACATCTAAATCCTGGCTCCAAATCAATCACCCAGTCATTCAATCGATCCTGGTCATCACACTGCTGAGAAATAATATTAAGTCATAGAAGCTCTTCATGTTTCTATTCCCTCGCTCCTAAGTGGGGCACATGTTATCATCTACCAGCTTCACAGTTTTAGGCTGAAAACTAAACTCATTAGTGACACATGTATAGAATAACTAAAAGAGTACCCAGTGTATAATCAGTGATTTAAAAAATGTTGTTAGCTTTTATAATTATTCTCATTGTAATTTTGGAAGATTAAATACTAAGTTAACTACATTTTGCTTGATATCATGTTTTGGAATTAAAACATATACTAGGTGATTATAAAAAGAAATCAAGGAGAAGAGTAAGAAAAATTTTTAATTATTCTATTATTTAGAGTATGGGTATTCTGGCTGCACGTATGTCTATACACCAGTTATGTGTCTACTGCCTGCAGAGGCCAGAGGACAACACTGATTCTGCTAGAAATGGAGTTATAGACAGTGTAAGCTGCCACGTGGGTGCCAGGAATTGAACCTGGGTCCTCTAGAAGAGCAGTCAGTGCTCTTAACCACTTGAGCCACGGCTGAGCCATCTCTGCAAGCTCAAAAAGGGTAAGATTTTAAAAGACAGAGGGCAGAGAACAGAAGCAGATCAGTGCTAACAATGAAGTAGACAGGGCAGGCAAGATGAATGCAAGTTTGGCCGCACACATCTGCAAACCCTGTCACTCAGGAGGCTGACACGGGAGGATAGAGAGGTTCAAGACCAACCTAAGCAATTCTACAAGCAGCCCTTCGATCACCAGTTCAAGACCAGCTTAAACTACATAGCAAGTTCCAAGCTGACCAGCACAAGCAGAAGACAGAAGCAGAGAGAGGACACTGAAAAGTGTCACCCTCACAAAACCAACATCATCACACATGTCCAATAAAACCTCAGAAACAGACTTAGGGTCAAGGAAAGACAGTGGCATACACTCACTCATGAACTCTGCTGTCACCATAGAGATCACTTAGGCCAAAGCTGATGTAGTGCCAGTGCTCAGGAATGTTGGCAGAAGGACTCCCCATATTCCTGTACATGCTAACATAATCCAATGGGTCTGGACCACCCAACCTGCAAAAGACAAAACACAAGGTGTCAATTTAAACCTGGAAACCAGAATATATCAAGTAAGAGGCTCTGCTCTACAAACCCGAATCCCCATCCTAGAGGGACCTAAAACAAAAGATAACTAAAGCAGGGCAAAAATCTCTTTAGCAATGGGCCAAGGAAAAGCATTGAGGCTATGTGATCCCACACGGTCAAGAAACTCCCTCCTCTTCCCTCCAATAGACAGGGCCTCTTTTAGAAATGAAGCAGACTTGCTGGTTGCACATTTTGCTTTCTCCTGTTTCAAGTTGCTGACTCCAAATGGAGTCTTCTATGGTGCCTGACAGCATGCCAGGCTTCAAGAGATGCATCAATGGCTTCTGTTGAATGACTATCCAGAGTATGACCAATGGACATCATTCCTGCAGTACAGGTTTCATTCTATACCTGTCTCTTAGACAGCTAGTTCCTGAAAGCCTATACTGTGCCTTCTAATATCGTTTCTTCTAAATACACACAAAGCCTCTGGTCTGCACAGACCCTGGCCTGAACACCACAGGTCAAAACTTAGTCACTGCAAGCTACAAAGTCCAAGCATCAGCTAGCCCAGCTCTGCACAGAGCACTACACCACGACCCAGACCAAACCCTGTCAGCACATGCATTCTAAAGAGCATCCCAGGAGGAATCTGTCTCAAAGGGAGAGCTGGGACATTTCACAACTTGAAGCTTGTAAGGATCACACTAAGTCTCCCCATAAATCCAACAGAGAAGCAGTTGAGGAAGAGATTCAATCATTACCTCACTGGAGATTTAACTCAATAAAAGTTCTTTTAGCAATTAGTGCCTAGGCAAAAGAAAGCAGACAACAGATAAGAGTACTTTTCTTCAGAGTGGACAGGAAAACAGACTTGAAAAGCACACTAAATGGAAACCATCAGCAGAAGAGAGTGTGCACTGAGCCCATGAACCCCACAGTTGAGCTGCCTCACATGGACTGTTCCACAGACTGTAGACACCTTGCCTGGCCTGGGACATGGACAGCAGTGCACATTGCAAGTGAGCTAAATTACTGAGGGAACGCTAACAACCAAACAGAAGACATGGTACAGGAGATCCCAGCAAGTGTGCCAGGACCATGCAATTCAAACCCTATCTTAAAACCAGTAAGTCTGGTTTCATCCTCTTTGCCAGGATGTTATTAGCCTTTGCAGAAATCTTTATTCTCTGGGGGGGAAAAACTAAGTTACTTATAGAATTTACAAGAAAGAAAGTCACTCTAAACAGCTTAACTCTCACCTGAGTGATTCAGGTAAGGGGACAAGTCTCTATGTCTGCTTTTTGTTTGTTTTCCTTTCTTTTAAATTTTTTTTTTTTTTTTAGGATTTCTCTGTGTAGCCCTAGCTGTCCTAGAACTCACTTTGTAGATCATCAGGCTGGCCTCGAACTCACAAAGACCCACCTGCCTCTGCCTCCCAAGTGTAGGGATTAACGGCATGTGCTCCACCACCTGGCCTCTGTCTGTCTTTAACTGTGATTTCACCAAATCATTTGACTTAAACCCATAATCAGTTGAATTTAGAAACATTTTGGGGAAGGATAGAGGACCCCATTATGGCTGCAGAATCCTAAAAAAGACAGGCTCCTTATTCTCTCCAACTTCCTACTGGAAATCCCAAGAGTCTTTGTTGCAGCCTAGGTCTGTCCAGCAACAAGTAGTGATACTGTGTTGGCTGCCCTGCTCCACCTGCCAGCATGTTGTAGCTCCTTCAGACAGACTCCCAGAAGAGGTCACATCAAATAGAGGCCTTAAGAGGAGTCAGGGAGCCTGGTGGTGGCGGCGTACACCTTTAATCCCAGCACTTGGGAGGCAGAATCAGGCAGATGTTTGTGAGTTTGAGGACAGCATGGTCTACAAGAGCTAGTTCCAGGACAGCTAGGACTGTTACACTGGGAAACGCTGTCTCGAAAAACAAACAAACAAAAAGATTCAAACAGCCTAATAACCAAGCTCAGAGAGTGCTGGTCTATCACTCACACTCAGATGAGTGCTCGTCTATCACTCACACTCAGATGAGTGCTGGTCTATCACTCACACTCAGAGAGTGCTGGTCTATCACTCACACTCAGATGAAGGTTGAAAATCGTGTTTTATATTTAGAAAAAGATGTGATCTAACGGCCTACAGCATCCCTGACCTTAATTCTCAACCCCTGACTTCTCTATAGGACTTCTCTGCAGGACTAGAGTGGACCCAGGGCACCAGACTCTACCTCCCCGCTTTGATCCTTGCCTTGCTTATGAAAGTCTCAACTTTTAGCTGGAGAACCCCTGCCAGCCAGGGTCCACTAGCTAAAAAGCCACCCCTCAAACCCAAGAGATCCCATAGCCAAATCCAAGCAGTTTAGCCAGCCCTCCTGCTGTGAGAACTGAAGGGTTATAACAGGCTTCTTAGGTATCTCAATTCTGCAAACCTCTGAGTCTCAGGAAAAAAAAAGACCCTAAGCTCTCTCCTCTTAGATTCCTGCGTCTAGGTGGTATTTCTTATTTCACAAAATGCTGTCCATGCCTTCTCGATTGTTATCACATGCTGGTCTACCTCTGAGGATCCAGTCTCATACATGCTTGCAGTAGAAAGAAAAATGCTGTAACTACTCTTGGTCCTGTGTATAATGTTTCCATACCTTTACCACACAACTCTCTGGATAGCCAGGGAGGTACATAGAATCAGTGCCCCTGTTCTTCGCAGGGTCTTCCCCTCACTCTTAAACAAGATCACAGCAAACATCCCAGAAAGGTCAGCCTCCTTTCTCTCCTAATATGGGACAAGTTCACAACATAGTTAAATATAAACGGGCAATTAAAATGACTGATTAAGTTAGCACCGCTAACTTAGTGGTGCCTGCCTTCAATTCCAGCACTCTGGAGGCAGAGGCTGGGGACTCTCTTTGAGTCCCAGGCCACAGTGAGTTCCAGGACAGCCAGAGCTACACAGTGAGACCCTGTCTCAAAACAACAACAAGAAAGGTTAGCAAGAACTCTTTTCCATTCAGAAGCACTCTTGACTGCTTTTCCGTCTGGAAGTGTCCCCGCCACAGATGCACTGCCACCACACCTCCTGGCTACCAGGCCAAAGGCTGGTCCCCAAGCCCTTCCAGGCTGTCAGCTTTCTTTATATCATCCTCCCACTGCCATGGGGAGTTAGCCTCGGCCCTGTGCAGCCTAACTGCCTTCTCTAGGAGTAACAAGATGTCACGCAGGAAAAAGACCCAGCCTTAAAAGGGGTGTAAGCAGCAAAGACAGCCACTTCTCCCTTCAGGTCACCTTTTGCCAATTACTCCCCCTCCCCAAGCAGCTGCCAGGATCCACGGAAAGGGATCATCTACAGTGAGCTCCTGCATGGACGTGGTCATCTCTTAGTCTAATTTTGGTTCAGAAAGACCATGAGAACTCATCCTCATCACACCTGTTTTGTCTGAAGGCTGACTAAAGAAACGGGTTGCGAACAAAAATGGGAAATCAGAAAGGGTCATTTCTACCCCCAAGGAAAGACCATTTGGAAACTGAGCCCTTACTGAGCATCCTTAAAGTTATCCTGGGCGTCCCAGAGAAACTTCGGCTGAAATACCGAAGACATGACAGGAAGCGCTTCTTCAGGCTGCATCACTGCCTCGGGTCTCCACCATGCACCTCCCAACGTAAGTGGCAAGCTATGATCCCCTTCAAGCCCCGAGCGAAGAAAGCAAGGCTCTCCCTGAGCCTGGTCTTAACTAACGTCCTAAAGCAAAAGCAGCTGCAACGCCAGAAGCAAGCTCTGCAGAGAGAACTGTGCAGAGTAAGCAAAAAGTTTTATCTGGAAGAGTTACTCTGTCAAACTTCAAGAGCAACAGCTTCGCACTGAATGACAGAAGCTCCTGCGCTCAGGAAGGTCCGGAAAGAAGGTCATCTTCTCAACCCTTCACTCATCGAAAGCACAATGCCCTCATCTTGCTCCCTCCTAGCCCACAGGGGCGTCCTGGTCCCCAGACCGCCCTAGACTACGCGGTCTCGTGCCCTCCAAAGCCCTCGCAAATGTTCTCCAGGCCCCGCCTCACCTCCCCCATTCCACTCTAGCCGCCCCCTGGCTTCCCCGAGCCCACTAATGACCCACTACGGGCGCCCCCTCCTTTCTCCACGTTTACAGTTCCCTCTCACACGTCCCCCCCCTCCGCTCCTGCATACACCCCCAGTTCTCCCAATCCCGGTTAACCCCTCACTACTCTAGGGATCCGTTAACCCTTTGTCCCCATTTCCAACTTCTGTCTTAACTCCTTCCCCAGCATCAGGAAGCTCTTAGTTCCCAAGTACTTTAACTGTTTTCTTCCTCCCGCTCCAGTAAATTACTTCGTCCCCGGGGCTCGAAGCTTTCCCGGCTGGCCCCCGTCCTCCCGAGGCCCAGAGCGTACCAGTACTTGACGATAGCGGTGACCTGGAGCGGGTTCGGCTGGTCGGGGTAAAGGCGGCGGCACTCTCCGTAGATGGCGTGCAGTCCCGGGGGAAAGAGGGAGGCAAAGGCCGGAGGGGCACTAGGGCCAGGGGCCGGGGGCGCGGCGGGGCCGGGGGCGACGGTAGGCCGCAGCTCCGCCATCGGGGCGCGTAGGGCGCGCGGGGAACCGGGGAGGGTAGAGGAGGGAAAGCGCCCCGATGGACCAGGGGACCCACTGTGGATGTGACTCCCCGAGGCGATGGGGGCTACGGCGAGGTCTAACTCCGCGCCTGCGCACGGTGCTTCGTCCGCCCAAGCCCTAGCCTTCGCGAAGTCGGCCAGAGGGTGCTGAGGGACCGCGGGGAGCTCCAGGGGGCGGGGCGTCGGCGTGCCTTTGGCTGGCACCTATTGGCTAGTGCCGTTGCCAGTCACAAGAGGAAGGCGTGACTTGACAATGGGCCCGCCTCCCTGCCCCTGTGCTGGGAACGTCCCAAGGATCTTGGCCTCCCCCTAGTGTTAGGAGGAACCCAGTTTTAAACCGAGACGCGGTGCCCAGAGGTGCTAGGGTCCGGTAATATCTCTAAAAAGCTCCTAAGAAGCGCTTAACATTATTTTGTTGGTACACGATTTTAAAATAAGCCCGACAACTGACTAATCATTCAGTTAAAAAATGAAATGACTAATTCATTTTTTGTGTGCCATTAATTTTTATTTGCTTGGTTTGGTTTTTCGAGACAGGGTTGCTCTGTGTAACAGTTCTGGCTGTCCTCGAACTCATGGAGAATCGTCTGTCTCTGCCTCCCGAGTGCTGGGATTAAAGGCGTGCGCTACCACCGCTCGGCGTGTGTCATTATTAATATATTACAATCTTTTACTATTTCTAGGCGCTAGTGACTAAAAGCAACTTGAAGAGGCAGGGAAATAAATACTCCAAGGAAAAATATCAGGCTGTTAAAAGCATTTATGCATACTTTCTCTTCACTTGAATATTCTCACCCATCTAGGTTTTATGCTCAAGAAGAGATACCAAAGCAGTTTCTAAACATTTAGACGATATTTTAGACCAGTAGTTCCACTGCATCCAACTTTAGATGTTTTTGATAACTTTTGTTAGCTTTTGTTAAAAGGGTTTTTGTTTTGTTTGTCGAGGACAGGGTTTTTCTGTGTGGCCCTGGCTGTCCCGGAACTCACTCTGCAAACCAAGCTGACCTCGAACTCAGAAATCCGCCTGTCTGTGCGGCACTACCAGCTGGAGGGGCTGCGATTCTTGCACATGCAGGAAAAGCATTCTACCACTGAGCGACATTCCAGTCCCAGAAATGTTTATTAATAGTTTATATTGCCCAAGTGAAGGAATGGCTGAGTGGTGGGACTAATCTGAAAAATTTAACCGCACCTAAATTACTGACTAATCTCAACTACGCACAAGTACTCCAGACTCTAGAATTTAAGCGTGTACTGGGAAACGCTTCGAAGGGACTACAAATCCAGGCATGCAACATCAACCTGTGGCTCTCGAATCTACCGAGACTACAAACCCCATGGCACCCTACATCGGAAATACACCGACCAATTTTCTAAACCCCGCGGGACTCGGGCCCTGTTTGGAGCGCTGGCCCTGCGGCAAAGGGTTCTGGGGATTGTAGTTCTTCGGAGGCGAGGTCGGGCCGCTCCCTGAATGCCCAGAACCGGCGACTAGACTGCGCATGCGTGTCAGTAGCGTTTGCAGCGGACCGGACTGGCAGTTCCTTCCTCGGAAGGAACGATTCCTCTACCATGGAGTCCTACGATGTGATCGCCAACCAGCCTGTTGTGATCGACAACGTGAGTAGCGTCTTTCCTATCTCTGAAGAGACTGTGTTGTCCTCCAGAAGGGATCGTTTCCGAGGTTTCAGCCTAGGCCGCCTGCTCTTTGTCACTGGCCCGGCCTGTCAGGCGGGTTCAGCTGCTGCCGCCCCCGTCCTCCCCACATCCACAGTTTGCAGGCAGGGCGGCCAGCAGCACCCGTGTGGCGGAGAATCTGAGGGCAGACAAAGGAAAGAGATGTAGACCGAGAAGGGTCCTTGGACCCTCGGCTCAAGGGGCCTTAACCGTTCTCTGAGAACCTAGCACCCGCCTTCTCCCTGGCCTCCCATCACTCAATTGGCTGCTCTTGCCGTCTATCTTGGCCTATTAGTCCCGCCTTTGGGCCTTGCCGGATTAGAACAGCACTCTGCGATTATTGGCTGGTGCGCTTGTCGCTCTTCCGGCCGCCATAGTGTTTCCCTTCTGTGAGGGGTGGGGCAGTGCTCTAGGGCGGTGGGGATTGGCTGGACTCACTCAGTGCGGAAGGCGATGGCTGGTCCACCGGTGAAGAAGGGCAGTTTCCTTGGGTGTGAGCCGGCCGGGCGGCGTTGTAAACTGTACCTGGGTGGGGCCGGGTAATCTTGTGCCAGAAATGGCTATAGGATATCAGTTATTTTTGTGATTATAAATTATAGTTAGCAAAGGTAAACAAAAAAGGAACGTGAGAAAGCAAACCAGGTGCTTTCCGTTTTGCGGTGCCCAGCTGAGAGGCAGCAGATTATCTAAGCAGTGTCTGTCAGGGACGCTAGCGTTTGCAGGGCACTTTGGCCACCGTGTAAATGGAAGCCTCAAGAAAAGGGAATGGCTCAGAAGCAAGTTTGCTGCCCCTTTCACAGGAGGAACACCGGAGATGGAAGAGACCAAGGTCATATTCCGCAGCGCTGCCCTATAAGTGTATCACCTTATCTAAATGCCATTCCTTTGCTAGCCACGCCTCCACAAATGCATCAGTAATGACAAATAGAACCAAAATATTGCTCTTATGAGGCTGGGCAGTTGTCTTCAGTTTCAGTATTTTACTCAAAGGTTTGGTCCAGTCGAGACTGGTTGAAATCTTCCTTGCTCTTTCAAGACCCCTTCTTTGAGGCAAACCATTAGTTCCCTCTGTCCTAGACTGACCTTATCCGATCAGAGTACCTGTGATGCTCCAGCCCTTCTCACCTGCGCGGGCCACTAGGTTCTTTTATTTGCATTGTAGGTAGATGGAGATTGCTCTCCCCAGTTTATGCAGGAACAGGAGGCTGGGGAAGATTTTTCAGACCACCCACTTTAGGAATTGAAGATCCCAGACTAACAATGAAGTCATCTGGTTCCAAGTTCTTTAGTCTTTCAAGGAAGGCTGCATTATATGTTGCAAACTGCCTTTTTAAAAGGTGAGGATGAGCACGTCTTTAATCCCAGCACTCTGGAGACAGAGGCAAGCGGATTTCTGTGAGTTCAAGACCAGCCTGTTGACAGAGTGAATTCCAGAACAGCAAGGACTGTTATGTAGAGAAATCTTGTCTCGGAAAAAAAAG